TAATGATGGAAAGGCTCGGCCTTTCTCCTCCTTCCCTCCTTCCCTCCCGCCCTCCCTTCCTCCTCCACCGTCCGGTTCACGGGATCAAAAGGCGCCCACAGAGCGGAGATACCCCAATAAGCCGTCCCATTCAGGCCCAGGGCTAGCGCGTCTGCCTCTTTGCGAGGTCTGGAGGAAGGAAGGGAGGGAGGGAGGGAGGGAGGGAGGAGCCGAGGAAGCCGCGTCAGGTTCCAGAGCAATTCGTGTGGAGAGAGCTACGTGGGTGTGGCGGTCTCGTTGAGACGCAAGGCCACCACATAGAAGGTGTACGGAGACGCCAGGGAGCGCGGCAGGGCAAAGAAGGAAGGTTTGAGGAAGATAGGGTGAGACGAGCAGGCGATGGGGAATAGGGCCGAGAGCACATCCTAACCCGACAGGGTACCCCCGCATGCCTACCGTCGTTCCACCCCCTCCTCCTCCTCCTGCTCCTCCTCCTGCTCCTCCTCCTGCTCCTCCTCTCTTTCTTCCTTGGCATGCCGTTGTCCGCCCTCAACAGGCTGCGTCAGACGCATTAAATGGCCCAGCAGCACCTCGACGTCCTCCTCACCGTTCTCGTCCCTTTGGAAGCCAGACAACGAGAGGGAGGCGGCGCATGCCCCCAGCTCCTGTAACGCAGGCGGTGCATTTTCCAAGTCTTCGGGGGCGGTCGAGGTATAATCCTCGACAGAAGTCCTGCACGATGGACAAGGGATACGAGAGTTGATGTGGAAGAACGCTCTTTCCACATGTGTGCCTACCTCCCACAGCCTCGTACCGCAAGAAATGAAGCACAGCCAAGGACTGCACGCTATTAAGTTTCACATTCAACTTCCCGGAGTCCTGATCATCCTTTTCATCCTCGCAGGTCATTGCATTGCGGCCAACATCTCCTATCTCAGCGGGAGAGGGGTGAGAGGAGGCTGGCTCTGCCCCGTTGGCGAGCACGATGAAAAGGAGAAGGAAAGACGAAAGGTACGTTCCAAAAAAGACATGCAGTGCTAGCATGACGTTTGAAAGACCTGTAAGATGGGACGGATAAGTTTGGGAAGAGGAATGAGCCCTCAAATGGGAGGGGAAAAGCGTGACGGAAGGAGGGAGGACGGATCAAGCCCGTATGGGCCTTTAGGCAAGATGCTGGCGGATGGACCGTACAATGGAAAGGATTATTTTTGTGTGCTACGGACGTCATTCACGTGTGCATGGCATCAAGTTGGGATCAACCTGCTTATTGAAATAATAGCATCGCTTTTAAAAAACTGATTTGAGGGATTCATTGTCATTCGTGTCCTCGTTTTCCCCGCCACGCTCGCTCACAAAAGTTGCTCTCTACTAGCGACGTCAACATTCAATGTTCCCATCCGACGCCATCTATTCCCCGCACATACAGGCCAGGCATGGTGATGGGACGCCCCGACACCCAACGATGGCGAGGAATTTGTGTCTCGAGGCGTAATTTAGCAAGCCTGATGGTTTTTCTTCTCGTCACTTTGCTCTCCCCTTTCCCTATCGCGGCCTCTGAAATTGGAACAGGTACGTCCGGCTTCCCATGTGTCGAAAACCCCTTCCATGCCCGACCATGCTTTCCCCTCGCGTGACTCTGCTTGCGCTCTACATCAGTCATCATGTTTTGACCATATACATCACGGAATTTTCGACCGTACCAGGAGTGGACGGAGTTGTAACGGGTGGGGGGGAAGCCTGGCAGCACGCGCTCGGCGTCCTCCGCGTTGAAATGCAGGCCTTATGGTCCTTGACCTGGAAGCAATACTGGGGAAGAGGAAAGAGGGAGGGAAAGTATGGGATGCGCTCGGACAAGGAAAAGGTGCAAGGTGCATTGACTTACACGACCTTACTCTCCGAGCTCGCCATGGAGGAGGAGGAGGAGGAGGAGGAGGGATGGGATCAGGATTGGGAAGGGGAGGTAGAGGACGGGTGGGTTTGGAAGGAGAAAGAGGGGGAGGAAGGGGAAGAGGAAGATGGAAGGCGCGGCCGTTGGGTATTGTG